GCCCCTCCCCCTCCCCATACCCACGACTGTCCCCATCCCATCCCTATACCCACGACTGTCCCCATCCCATCCCCATCCCCACGATTGTCCCCATCCCATCCCTGTACCCACAACTGTCCCCATCCCATCCCCATCCCCACGATCGTCCCCATCCCGCGTCCGCTGCCTCTTGGAGCGCATCTTTACCCTCTGGATCAAGCTGGCGAACTGGAGGTTCCTGGAGAAGGAGATGTTGAGCACGGTGCTGTAGGCGTTTTCGCCCCTGTTCTCCAGCGTCGCCTCCACGGCCACCCTCCTCCTGGTGCTCTCGATGATGAAGACGGAGGTGTCGAAGGACAGCGTGTAAGCCGAGCACTCGGCCGGCGGCCTCCGCAGCGCTCGTCTGCAATAGTCCCTGCGCGGGGCGAGCGGGTGAGCCCAAGGGACACTCACCCCAAGCGTCATCCCTAGGGCTTGGCGGGGCTTTCAGCTTGCAAAGGGCACAGGACCCCGTTTTAAAGAACTGGGCCTGCTCTGATGAGCAGCTTCCAAAAATTCCTCAGCAAAATAACCTCTGTATTGGTTTCTCTTTCTGGGTGTGATCCAAACTGCGCTAATGCGGGCAGGAAAGCTCAGGAGCTTTGGGAGGAACGGGCTTAGAGGCCTGGCATGCCAGGAGACCACAGCAGCCACCCACTATTTGCTCGTGGAGCTCCTGTCTCTAAGATAAATAAGTAATTCACTACCTGCAGCTCCCGTCAAGCACTTAGGCCAGAGCTCAGCCAGAAGCCCGGGTGCACATGGGACCAGTGCCAAAGGATGCAGCAGGCAATTTGGGTGCTAAAAGATGCAGCATGCAGCTCGCATGCCAAAGGATGCATCGTGCAGGTCGGGTGCCAAAGGATGCCCCATGCACCATGCAGACCCGGCCGTGCTCCGGGTCTCAGCGTCAGGACCAGGAGCTTTGCAGGAGACATGGAGCAATAAGAGCTGCATGATGGAAAACGAGCAAGCTGCAGGTAGCGGAGCTGACCATGGGTTCAGAGCCTGCTGCCATCCGTGGGGCTGGAGCTCCTGGCTCCCACGTTCCTCCTAGATAACTTTTACGGGAAAGCACTTTGAGCGATCCCTTCTGCTGCAGGAGCTAAGGCTGGAATTGCTGAGCCGGCCTTGCAGTTATCCCCCCTGCTATTTGCTGATGTGTCTCCCTGGGGTTCATCACCATGGCATTCAGCTTCGGTTTTTTGGTGGATTCCCTGAGAAATCACCAGTCTGTGCCAAGCACGGAGCAAGCAGCGGCCTTGGGAGGTGGCAAATCTTTGCTAAGAGCAGAGGGAGAGTAGAAAAGCAACAGCAGCAGCAACAACAAAATAAAACAAACGAACAAAACCAAAACAAAAGGCAAAGTCCACATGCAGAAGTCCAGATTTCATCATTCAGTGCATATTCTACTGAATATGTAGACTGAAAAGCTCTGCAATTACTAAATGCTGAGATTTACTAGATTACTAAATTTAGTAAATTTAGTAATTTAGCCTGAATTACTAAATTGCTAATGCCGAGGAGCTTTGGCTAGTCCATGCTCAGCATGGGGAGACCCGTGGGGATGGGGTGAGATGTGCACAAGCCCGAGGATATTTCTTCAGAGATCGAAGTATCCCTGCTAGGAGGGACCAAAGCTCAAGATCTTCTCATAAGCCCCTAAGAAATAAACACTAGATCTGCACCAAAGATCTTGCAATTCACTAGTCCAAACTTTGCTCTTTGTTATGGTTGATCTCATCGCCAGTTTGCACGCGTGTGCTTGCTGGAGGAGATGCAACTAATGCCAGTGCAAAAGCAAAAGGTGCAAAGCGACACCAGGGTATGGGAAGGATCCTCTATAGCCCCCATGCTGGTGGGTACCAGTCTCTGAGCTGATTTTTTGGGTGCTCTGCCCAGCTGATGGACTCACATGGCGCTTGGCACGTCGCTCCTGGCATCCAGGACCAGGTCGGGGACGCAGTGCTCGTCTTCGTTGCACCCGTTCCAGAAAGGCACCTGGGGCGAGGGACGAGAGCAGCTCGGCCGTGCTCAAGCCAAAGAGAAGCGGCACGTGCAGCGACCCTCGGCCTGCCGAGCGTGCTGGAAAAGCCCCACGGCGTCCAGCCCCGCTCCACGCGGCTTGTACATAAATAGCATGCACGGAACATGTTGCGTTGTGGCGGAGTTTGGGAATTACAGCCCCACGATGAGGAGGAAAATGTTGCATTCTGAAATCTGCTAAGCAAGGTGACCACCAAATTGCCTTTTTAATTCCAATGACCAACACTGATATCCTCTATGATCACTGAAATCACCCGATTTCCACAGCCGCTGGGGAACATGGCCATGACGTCCTCCAAGTCACCAACGCGGCTACGTACCGAGACCTTGAGCGAGGTCGGCCACCCGTCATCCAGCATGGGACCGTCTTCGGGGCTCACCAGGTCATAGTCTATGGAAAAAGCCACCGGCTTCACGTAGTCAGCCGTGTCCTACAGCAGATGAAAGAGACCCTTCAAAAAGGCAGGACTCCAGCTCACGATGGGAAGCTGGATGCAAGAGCAAAGTCCAGCAGCATCCCAGGGGTGCTCGGTAGTGCTAGGAAATGAAAGCTTAGTGGTTTGGTCAACTCCATGCATAAAGATCTTAGCCTTCCTGCTAATCGGACACCGGGACAGTGGCAGGGAAGGCGTACACTGCCTGTGTCTGACAGCACAAGCAATGCTCCATCCCGGAGATGCAGCTCCGGAAAGACGGATGCTCCCAGAGGATGCTGCAAGGCCGTCCTGGAGATGCCCACCTGGTACCTCCAGGGCCAGCAGCGAAGCTGCTCCTTCCCCAGAGCCGCGTGAGCTCTTCCCACACGTCAGCCTGGTGCGTGCAGCAAGCGCATCTAGCTGCCCTGCAGCGAGCTGCTTCTCGGGCTAAATCACAAGCTCCGTCTCAAACTTTGGAATCAAATTTCCCAGAAGTTCAGGGCAGTTCAGGCTGGGGTTTGAGGCCAAGCCAGCCTGGAAGCGCAGCCCGCGCTGGCCTCCGAGGAATTCTGCTCATTCGCCGGGAATGCTCGCTTGTGGCCAGCTCTGCTCCACAGCCCCTGCCGCTCGCCACGCCGAGGGTTTCGCTGGCTCCCGAGCCGGGCACGGGGACCCGGTGGCAGGAGGAGCACAGAGCACACCCAGGGATGGACACGAAAGCGTTTGCTTCCAGACGGATAGGAGCTTTCCCTGCATTTGGTGTGGGAGGGAGAGGCTGAGCACAGAGTCACGAGTGCGCCGTCCCCGCGGGCAGCGCTGGCACGGCCCCGGCTTGCAAAAAGGAGCAAAATGCGAGCGCGATGAAGTCACATCCCTAAGACTGACCAGCTGCTCCCTTGGCCACGACCTGCCCCTCGCCACATCCAACCCAGCCGTCAGTTCCCCCCGCTGCATCCCGTGGGCTTCCCGCCTCGGCCGCGGCAAGGAGGATGCTGCTGCTGCCCCCGGTACCTACCAGCACGTGGAAGCTGAGCCGGTCGCAGCGCTCGCGGCCTGCGGGCAGCGTGAGCGCCTTGTGCGCGTGCCGCTCGGCGCTCTCGTCCAGGTGGGCCCGCGGCGTGTACCTGCGCTCGTCGATGGTAGCGTTGAACCTCAGCGCTGCAAGGGAGAGCAGCTCGCGTCAGGGAGCCCGAAAGCATCTCAGCACTTGCTCTGCAGCAAGACCGGGTCAAGAAGACGCTTTCAGGCACGCAAATCCCTATCCCCTGCTTGGGAGACTGAAGTGATCCGCTACCTTGGAATTGTTGCACGGATGGAGCACGCTAAGGAGGAAAAAGTAGTCAAAAGGTTCTTAAAATAAATAAGAAAGATGTTAAGCCTGTGCTGCATTGCTCATGTGCATCTGCATAGGCGAGCCCATGCACAGCATGCAGGCTCAAAGCAAAGTAGAGAAACTATAAAGGGAAAAGTTGGCATTTTTTTAAACAGATTTTCCTTCAAGCATCTGCATTCCGGCTGAAGGAGGAGCTTTGAAGACATTTTTTTTTCTCAGTGTCTTGAAAAAACTTGTACAGAATATTTAAATATTTGTTTCCTGTATATTCCTATATGTGGCTTGGACTGATTAGGAAGCTGTTGCTACCCTGGTGCATGGTCCCCTTTGCTGGGAAATCACTTCAGTGATGAAAGAGCCTTGCAGTTCTGCTGAAGAGAGACAAAAAAAAGGCACAAATCCCATGCCAGAAGCAGGAGGGACTTTGCACCCACTGCATCAACGCAATGCGAAACACATGAGAAACAAGAAGTCAGGCTGTGTCCCCAGCTCGCAGGGAATCCCTCAGCCTCTTGCCCTGTAATTACAGGAGCTGTGCTCTGTAGCACAAGGCAAAATCCTTGCTCTGGGGAATGGGAAAGTTTCCTTTGGCTTTGGTCGGGACCCGGTTTCCTCTGTCCCCCCTTCGGCGGCGTTTCGGAGGGCCTGCTGCTTTCATTTCCTCTCGCTCCAGCTGAGTCACGGGCATCCTCCGGGTAGACTCAGGGTCACCGCACTATGCAACGTCTTAAAACCAGAGCTGGCCAATAAATTCGTAAGGATTCTCTGGGATGCGAGGGAAGCTCGCATGCATATGGTGCACAGATGTCCTCTGAGATGAAGCTCATCAGCCCTGTGTTTCTGTGGGAGCTGGAGTCATTTCATGCAGAGACTGTAGGGGAAACGGGACGCGCCTTTGGGACACCTTTTCTGGAAGGATGGCTCAAGATTGTCCAACGGGCCCAAGCACTGAGTGTAAAGGACTCTTTATGGAGGTCCCTGCTGCTCTGAGAGGTGGCAGGTGACAGCATCAGCACAGGTACTTGTGCAGGACTGTCCCGCTCCAAGATGCTCATTATCGAGCTCTTAGCTCATCGCCCTCAGCGACAGCAGGACTGGAGACCTAAAGGACAAGCAAAACCCGTTTTCCTCCTGCCACTTACCCACACTGGCCGTCTGGAAGTGGGCGGAGAGGAAGACGGCGGTGAAGCAGACGAAGGCTGACATGCAGGTGGCCTCCTTCCCGTTCCGCTTGCAGTCCTTGGTGAAGATGTTGATTTTGGGCGGCTCGAAGCGGATGCTGGCGTTGATCTGGACGACGCTGCGGGACCTGCGGGGCGAGCAAGGCGAGGGGAGGTGCGTGCTGAGGTTGCCCATGGCTTGCTGTGGTCCGGCCACTGCAAGCTGTGTGGCCACCCTCCGAGCTCAGCACCGTCTCCTCTGGTATTATTTAATAAGGACAGAGGGAATTGGGACAAATCACAGCAAATAAATCAGCTGGCTTCAAACTTCTGGGGAAGTGATGATGGAACTCGGTGCAAAATGACTCTGACGTCCCTCTAAGTCTCCACTGCATTGTAAAACAGCGTCTGAAATCCCACGACCTCGTGGGACAGAGGGTTGTTATTGTGGAGAGGCCGGTCAGATTTTAAGGGCAAAACTGATCTTAAGAAACGTCAACACACGGCAGTGACCTTGGGGCAGGGCACAGTGCCAGATGAGATATAGCTAACCAGAGCAGCACGGCGTTCCCCAGAGAGCCAACCGCTAGGTCTATGAGCCCATCGTCGTTCAGATCCAGCTGTCCATGGATACTGCATCCAAAATACATCAGGCCCGGTCCGAGCTCCACAGCTGCTATCCTCTGAAAAGCAAAAAAGGGAAAAGAAAAAGCTCCAGCCTTGTTTCCATCAGAAGCATCCCTGCTGGCCTGCAAGGCAAGCTCATGTCTGCGTTGCACTAGTGAGCCCAGGAAGCATCTGCATGAACGTGATGCAGAAGTGCATTTGGGGAGACCAAGGAATAGCATGCATGGGAACCCCTTATTTCAAGCCAATTTTCCAGAAATAACATTTGCTTCGTCTTGGGCCCATCACAAGAAAACCCATCTGGCAATGGTGAGCAACGCCGGTAGAAATTTTTGGCCAAACACCCCTTGACTTGGTTGGCGGCCACAGCTCAGCGAGAGGAGAAGCCAAGCGCAGGGAATTGCACCTGCTTGTATTTCCTTAGGACTGTCTCTCCGAAGCCGTGGAAGATGTAGATGGCTCCTTGGTGGTCGTCTTCCAGAGGCGCCCCCACGACGACGTCGTTGTAGGAGTCCTGGTTGAGGTCGGAGACGGCGGCGATGCAGGAGCCGAAGCGGGAGTTCTGGTAGCTCTGCAAGTCATCCAGGGCCCCGCTGAAAACAAAGCGGTTCTGCAAGAACGGCCAAAGAGCGAAGGGAAAAAGGCAAAAAACAACAACAACAACAACAAAAAACAGCATTAGCAGCGAGCCTGGAGAGCTGAGGAAACCCCAAAGGGCAAACAAACAGACACAACCCATGAGAGTCCTGCAAAATAAATAAAATCCAACTCCTCCCGCCCATAGAGCCTTTCATCCAGCCAGAAACTCTGGGGAAAAAAAAGTGGCATATTGGTGCCAGGTGGAGACCCAGCATTCCTGGGTGGAAATGCACCCGCCGCACACGAAGCACGTGTCTCCCCCTTCGTATATGGGGCAAAAAAAGGGCAAATTCTCTGTCCGCGACAGTGAGGAAGCACTGGAGTCCCACATGTCCTGGCATGCTGGCACAGTGGGCAATCACCTCTCTTAGGGTGTAGACGTAGACCTTGCCCCGTTCCCTGCCCTCGCTGAAGAACATGGGGGCCCCGACCAGCAGCGCGTCCGTGACGCCGTCGCCGTTCACGTCCACCGCGCTGATCTCACTGCCGTAGTAGGAGCCGATCTGCAAGAGCGGGAACGCGGTTAGGGCAACCGTTGGGTGCAACCCATGGCAGATGGAAGAGCAGCCATGGAGAGGAGGAGCGTGGAGAGCCCGAACCTGCTCGCCCTTCAGCGCCTGGTGGATGGTGAGGTTCCGGTTGTTGTGCATGGTGAAGATGATCACCTTCCCGGTGTGGTTGAACCTGGGCGCTCCGGCCACGTAGATCCGCTGGCCCGTGGCCGAGACCACGGAGGAGACGGTGTAACCTGCGACGGGGACGAGCGTGAGCGCGGGGTTGATCCTGCCGCCTGCCAGCCTCCCTCTCCATCTGCTTTCCATTAACTTCAAGCTGCTAAGAGAGCTCTGGCTGCGGCCCAGATCGGCAAGCTATAAACGGAGATTTCTTCAAAGATAGAGTCATCCAAGCCAACCCAGCTGCTAGGACCTAGTGCTTTGAGCTTACTGCTCCTCCACGAGGGCTTTGGCACGGGACAGTGCAGCTAGTAAGCCATGAGCAAGACCCTGCTTTCGCGGAGGGCAAGCCCAGTGGGTTGCCCTATAACTTGCATGAAGTTAGGCAAACCGTGACACGGAGCACATCCAGGTCGTGCCTACTGCATTGCTCTGGGACGAGCCTGCCAAGAGCCGCGTCCAGAGCAACGTCAACGATGTTTGACGTCAAAATTCACGGGGCAATAAATCCACACAGAATTGCTCGACAGTCCTGATGCAAACAGCACTGCCTAAGCTAAAGACCTCGAGGGAGTCGTTTTCCCTGTCCTCAGGGGGTGTTTTCTGCACAGGGATCACCAACACCTCAGTCCACATGTGAGGCTTGGCAGCCTCTGTGGCCTGTAGTAGCTGAAATAGGAGTTGAAGTGTGGGGCCACACAGCCCCGCTGGTCAACCTGCAGCTAACCCCAGGCTCCTGCACATTCACAGCCGTTTTACAAGCTACTTAAAGTGCTGGAGGCTCAGAGCAGGGCCACCTCTGAAGCTGCATGCTGCTCAAGGCCATATCCACTTGGATTTGGAGTATCTCGGGGGTTAACAGATCCCTTTTCGCTGGTGCTGACCTCCTCAAGCAGGACATTTTCCTCCTAAGAACCTTCTCTTCAGGGAAACCCAGGCCTGGAGCTGGGACAGCAGGGCTGCTTTGCAGCAGGACACACTGGGCTTTTCGGAATAGTTCAGTTTTTCCTCCTTGACTCAACAGCGAAGACGGGATTAAACCAAACTCCCACGTATGGTTGTGAGCATTTCTTTGCACAACCGCAGCGGTTCCCGCTCCAGGCACTGAGAGTCCAACTGAGATGATGCTCTGCTGCTCTCTCAGTCGAGCCCTACTATTTCTTGGAGGAAAACCGTGTGTCCCGGGGCTCCTGGTGTTCCCAGGAACAGAGGGACAAGCTGGGCTCATGCAGCTCAGGGAAGAGGCTGGAAGCCGAGCTGCTGCTCTTGCTCTGGGGCTCCAAGAGCTGCACATGGAATGGATTAACACAGCAGGTATTTCCTCTCCGGGCATGAAATTTCATCAGTGTTTTTTAAACCATTCCAGTAAGTACCGTAGCTGACCTGGACAGGCCGGAGCTCATGCCTGAATTATTTCTGCATTTAAATGCTCCTGGGCTGTGTGTCAGGGTAGGCTTTGGAGCCCTCCCAGGCAAGGTGCTCGCTTCTGCTGTCGGGGCGAGCAGGAGCCCAGGTCTCGCAGAGCCAGCAGCTCCGAGAGCACCGGGCACTTGGTGCCAGCGCTGGCAAGAGTGACTCAGTGGTGAAATATTCTGTGCTTCCTATTATTAAGTGTAAAATTATGAATTCTGCCCTGGAAACGGAGCCTGTTCTGGCACGCTTACCCAAGTAAGCGCCGTGGTTTTTCAGCTCTTCTGGGAACTCCTGGAGATAGGACTCTCGCAGAGGAATGACCTTCCCACTGCTGGTTTCCTTGAGGACGGCTCCGTTCCAGTCGTAGGCACCCACGGCCCCCAGCAAGATCCCGTCCTGGGGGGAAAGGAGCAGTCAGCATCGGGGCGCTCGGCAAGGCACCGGTTTCCCCTTGTCTGTCTTGTAAAACCCCAAATCCTAGACAACATAAGTACCAGACAACACAGAAGGTGGAAGAGGAAAACAGCAGAGCAGAGCAGTCCCTCCCAGAAACCACACTTGCCATTTACAGAAACAGGGAGGAACCTCACAAATGGGGAAAAAAAGAAAAAAAATGGTTACAGCAGCACCTCCCACCCTGCGCCAAGCCTGCAGCCCGTGGCAGACGCCGTCCCGGTTTAACCGCTCCACCTCTGCTTTGCATGCATTCTGATATTTCAAGCTGTGCTTTACTTTATTTTATTTGTAAGGTAGGGCAGAAAATCCCTGCTGACTTTTAGCTCTGGCCAGCTGGCCCACGGAGCCCATCAGCAAGCCTAAAATGAAGGTCCCTGACTGTCCCCTGCAGCTCAGCTGGGCTCAGAAAGGGCCTGAAGTTTTGCTGAATTTGTGTTAGGGTAAATTTAACCTCCAGGCAAGATTTGTGCTTACTTCAGCATTACGCAGTACAGGCTTGGACGTGAATGTGGAAGTTATTTAATAGTTCCACTTCCCTCAAAGAGTGGCAGAGAAAATACAGGGAAAAATTCTGGATACTGCTTCTAAGCTTTAGGAGATATTTTCTCTGGGAAAAACAAACTATTTCTTAGAGATGCACAAAAGGCTCAGATTAATCATCAACACGCAAATTAAACACATCTTAAAACTGTCACTTGCATTTACAGCCTGACCTCATGCGCTAAAACCATCCCACCCCTTTCCATGGGTCAGCTGCCCACAAAAAAAA